TTGGTAAGGTTACTCTGCTAAGTAGTATGAGATAATTGGGTTGATCCCTGTACTGTGATAAAGTAAGGGTGTAAAATAAGACAGGGGAGTAAAAGCATATAAGGGTAGGATGAAATTGTTAGGCGAAATTTTGTGTTAATTCGATAACGGGGGAAAAAGTTCATTTTCGTTAATTAAAATAAAAGAAAATACTTTTTATTTATACTACTATCGGGGAAGGAAATTTATGACGAAGGAGCGAAAGATACAGGCCTTGTGAAGCTAAGCGATACATCCATCAAGTATGGTGAAAATTTGATTGATTAACAATGATACGATATGTTGAAAAGAGTTATAAAGATACGTATCTGATCCGAAAACCACATAAAAATATAGCGATGTTAGTATAATATTACTTTTAACAGCGTAGTGGATTTTCATTTAAAAAATGTCATTTGTTATATTCTTCGTAATATGTGTAAGATAATACGAAAGTTTTGATATCGTAGATCAAACGTAGTATTGTAAGAGAACACGAGACATACGATACGGTATTTTAGAATATTTAGCCATGATTCAAAACGCTATGTAGTTCATTGGAATATTCTAAGAAATTAGACTGCAGTTAACTGCAACATTACATTACATTACACGATAGTGTGTTGTTGATAATTGTGTAATAGATGATAAAACTGTTGTGTATTATTATAACGTGAAAGTTAAGCTTAGTAAAGTAGACAGATACGAAAGTGAAAACATGTCACACTCTGTATCGTATGATCAATAGTAAAATCGTGTGAGGTATTCTATGTCACAGCATGTTAGCATTCTGAATGTTTACTAACGTAAGAAAATTGCACGCGATGGGTTTTATTCAAAACATTCCGAGGTATGCCACGATCGGAGAAATTCACAGCTCGGAATAATCAAATATCTAATTTCACGGTTGTCGAATAAAGCAAACCGGACCCAAGAGACAGAGGAATTCTAATAGCAATGTATAACGATCAGGTTTAAAGGTTGCAAGCTTAAAGGAAAGGGAGGAAACGTGTCCCAGTGGCATCGTGTGAAAAAGCTTCGTATCTACATTAACCGAATTTCTAACTTAAAAGCAGAACACTCTCTGCAAGATTGAACAAACTTTAATATGTGATAGGAAGAGGACGCGAGAAAAGAATTTCTTAATTATATTGCATATGCATATGTAATGTACGTACTGCCAATTACGAACTGTTTTTTCTCCAACGTTACCAAATAAAAAATTCCTACGTTTCATTGTCACAAGATTATTTCAAATCACGAAGAATAGCTTGCATCCTTAACTTTTCTCAAAAAACAGAAATTATGTGCGATACAATTTTGGCACTTTCGACATGATGGACCAAGTTAATTAATTTTAATTCGTAGTCTGTATTTCATGAACATGGCAAGATTTATTAAATAATTTTAACTTTAATTGAAACCCATAGTTTCGATCGTCTACGACTGAAACACGCCAGTCGAAGGAAGGTTAGATTGATAGCAACGAAGCAAAGAATTGTGTTACAAAACCAACGTGTTCGAAAAATACCTTAGCGTAATTATTCAATACATAATAGCAAATCGCGGTTCTCTCGTTAACATTCAGGCAGCTAATAAATCATCGTCATAACGACATAATAATCATTGACTACATCGTTCGAAAGACATTATCAAGTATCGATCCTGTGAATTAAAATCAAATACCAAATTATCTGTCGACGATACATCTTCCAACAAAATGTCATTACTTCGGTCATCATAATATCGATCTGCTATCTTCAAATATGCTGAAAAACTAAATTTATTAAAATCCAATGATAATTGTTAACGTGTTTAGCTTTTGCAAGGAAAGCGTATCCGATCGCGAAGAAAGTGCAGCCACTGGCCATCACCGGTGCAACCAGTTTTAAAGTCAAGGTTTACGCTTCAAATTCGAGTTATGCAAGACACACACACACACACGCACAAAAACGCTCGTGTCTTCTTGAAACCTTATACGGGGTGTCTCAGTAATTATGGTACGATTTACAAGGGGAAGATTCTACGTGAAGAAGGCAAATCGATGATATACGATAAAATTTTCTGAACGACGTTTTGTTTTCGAGAAAGCCGAGTTTGAAGATTTCTTAAGCTTCGGCTCATTCCGGACTGCACAGTAACCAACAATCGACAACATATTATTTTACGAAAATAAGTAAAAAATGTAGAATAAAATTGGTCCATAGAACGGTTTCATTTACGAGAAAACGAGCTTTGAAAATTGATCGTTTGTAACTAAACCCTTGAAACTTTGTTTTCTTTAAGATTTAAAGAGGGCTTAAATGGAAAAATTTAATTCTACGTTTTTTTTTCATTTATTTTTGCATACAAAATAATCTTCTGTTTGCAATCGGTCGATAATTAACCAAGTTCTTAGCCATATGCATATTAAGCAAACTTTTAAATTTGATATTGTCGAGAACGGAAATGAAGTTTTAATCGTATGAAAAAATGTTATTACGTATCTCTGATTTATTTTTTCACTGTGTATCTCGTGCGTTACATGAACCGTCATGCGGCGTATTATACGCGGCTCTCGACTCGCTAATTAAAGTACATCTGTGGCGAATGTTGGTAAAAAAATGGCCTCTATCATTCTGCAGCTTTCCCAGCGATACCCTCGATAGCTCGTCGCTAACGTCATGACTCATTATGTTAGAACGTCAAGGAGCCTAATGTTTGGATACATCGTTATGTCAGCTTCGATGTTCTTTGTTGTAATGCACTCTCTCAAGAGCCAAACTGATCTTCAACTCCACTCTTTACATATTCTTATATTTCGTTACATTTACATTTCATTGTACGTTACTTATATCCAATTCTGCAAACACGAACGACACGCTTCTATAAATTCATCCGTCGTAGGAAGATGTCACAGATAAGATCGTAAGATAAATTTAAAATAATGTTTCGATATGACAGAATAAAGGTAGATTTCTCTCAAGTTATCTATATACAGAATCACTCGTGGGTTTTTAATTAGCTTCCTACCACGTATCTGTCGTTTCTATTAAAAACCGCTACAATAAACTATCATCAATCTTGATCTCCAACATCATCATTAATTTAGCTAAAGTTCTAAAATGATACTTTTATCGTTACGACTTCTCACTAGACATGAAATACTATGATCAAAGTAGTCACTTATTGCCATTTTTGATGGCATTCGGCATATTTGCGTGAACACGAGACACGGAAGCGAAATCCAGAAATCCGATCGTTAATTGGTAACTGAACTGCAACAAACTTGAAACCCTTTATAGAAGTGATCGTTAATGGAGGTTCTCCAGGGACACGATACCTGTAAGTATATCTCAATCGATGTCTAATTGATGACTAACTCAACTACACTTGAAGCTACCCTTTGTTCCATAGATATCCATTTGTAAGTTTTTCGTCGCGTTTTCTGTACAGTAGCCCGTGGCGATATTTAAACGTTTGTCATAGAAAACTTCGACGTATACGTTATGCGTGTTACGTAAAACGTTTTAAAATTTCATTGACAACGAAATGAGTTGAAGTAGAACAGGAATAGAACCGACTCTCATAATTATATCGAAGTGTTCGAAGTCGATTTGGAAATGTATATATGCAACGTAAATTTAAAGGAAACTTTGCTAATATAATCATGGCAAACAGATCTAATCTCGACGATAATGGAATTTCAGAATTTTCTATATGACACGAACAACATATCGATAGAAGGTTTTTACGAGTGTTCGAACACTTTTGTGAGCAACTCGCTATTTCTCACGATAATCTTGAGGCCAAATTGACTCGGATCGTGAGACATTCGTGTGCAGCTGTATGACAAAAGTGCCTCCGGTGTAAAGCGTACAAAGCCTTCATCGAGTAGAAAAATGCGTTCCTGTTTACGCGATCTAGCCAATCGAAGGTCGTAAACGTGCAAATATCTTTCTCGGCCTTTCCCAATTGCGTACCTACGAAACTTGATGAATCGGATACAGTGAATTTCTCGAGAATCTTTAACGAGGTGATTCATCGTCGCGTCGCGTCCCACCTGCGAAATACCTGCACAGTCCTTGCGATCGCTGGAAAGGCCACGCTATGGACCGAATTACGAATTTCTTCTTTCCAATGCTGCGAGAGAATTCTGCATAGTTCCGGGTGCTTTTACGTATAATCCTGATTTATTTCTACCGTGCTTTGTTCAGTTTTACAGGCGATACATACCATAAGTATCGTATGGATTTGTAAATTTAAATATTTTTGAAGAAAAAGAAATTAAATTTCCCACAAAGGCATACAAATTCGCAGTCTAGCGATACACTCTCAAGATACGTAGTAGATCGCAAATTTCTATAAAATCTACTAAAATAATATTAAAAATAATACACTCTTTGCTCTTCAAGAAGAAAGTAACACGTCCGTAAAGATAAACTGCAACGAAACTCCCGATTGCCACCCGCATTCTTCCATGGCCGCTGGTAAAAATAACGAAACCGCCCCCGAAGAAAGGTGGAAGAAACGATTTACATCGCTCGACACTCATCGATCATCCGTCTATAGCACACCTCCTCGTTTCGACTAACAACCGCGAGCCTTTTTTGAAGGTACCAAAACAAAAGCAACAGAATGGAGGAGTAGGGAAAAAAGGAGGTGTTCTGAAACCATCAGCCATCCTCGGAAACCATCGAATCCCCCATTCCATAAGCATAACGATGGTTGGAGGATCGTGCCACGTTCCATGACTCCTTTTTACTCGAGCGGAAGGGTCCTGCGGATTCAAGACGAACAAGGATCACTATATCGTGAGGGGGAGGGCAAATAGAGTGGGGAGCACGTAAGAATTATCCCTGAAGAGTCGAAACGGAGAAGAATGGGGAAAAGAGAAGACACCAAGAAGAGGATGGGCACCAAGTTGGTCGGTTGGTCTTGCCGACCCCCACCCTGTATATAAGCCTTCTTCTGCTGGCTACGTCTTCAGTCTTTCAGTTCGAACGGCACACTGCGTGTACAATACGAAGAGATCATCATCTGTACGAGACTGAGATCGTCGTGACGATGCCTTGCTAAACGGAAGCAACCGGTGCGTCAGGATGGTCGGCCGTGTGCGCGCCGCTTTCTTCAGCCTGGTACGTGTCCCATATACGCAGGACCACGAGTGCTACAAATTCTTTTCTATTCCTTTTCGCTTCTTTCTTCATCTTCTCTTCCTTTTTGACAGTCGAGTCAGTGAATTGCCGTAGTTAGGTAATTGTGAAACGGGATGTTGGTCAGAGAAACGTTACAACTCAATTTCGCTGCAAATAGAACGGTCGTGGATGTAGGTTCGTTGAGTTTGTCGAGAGTAGGCAAGGTGTTTTAGACGTTTTAGAGTTGGTAATCAGGTAGAAATGGATGAGATAATCGCGTGGGCTGAGTAGAATACCATTGACATGGATTGCTGCGTTTTGGTCCGATGGCCTTGTATGGAAATTATTTATTTGTCAAATCCTTTTGCAACGTCGAATCAGGTTGGGCAGACGCGACGAGGAAGTGTCGTTTTCGAAGTTGAAACGAGCTGTTGGAAACGTTGATTGTGATTTAGGTGTAGTTCGAGAAATGGGTAAACTGTACTCTAATTTTGTTTGGGTGCTCGACGAGCTTGAAATATTCGGAACACGATATATTACTCTGTGTAATAACGCGATCAAACTTTTGATGTTTTAAATTGATAGCGAATATCGATGGAATTAAAATGTTATCAACAAGTTCGTAATCGCAACACTACAAATTGTGTGTATGATTTATTCCATGTTACAATTAAACTTTTAATTGAAGCTTCCCTTTTTTTCGCGCTGATATGTGGAACGCGGGAACGATATTTATTAACTCGACGCAATTTCAATATTGAGTTCATTCTATTCGTTTCATAGGTTGCACGAGAAACAGAAAACGTGTCCTTTCATATGAACATTCTGCAATAATTCTCAAATTCTACGTATCCATTGAAATTTGCGCACGTACCTTCGTCTGCAACAAACTCTTCATCGTGTCTCATTCAACATAAAAATATGTTTGGAATATGTGAAGAAACTTCTAAACGGTCTAATAATTTTATGTTATTAAACGATAGATAAATAAAATAGAAATAGTGGGTGGTTAAAATATAAAAACAACGTGTGACTTGTAAAATTTCAAATATTTCCTATCACGAAAGTAAAATTAATCGATCGCACTATCGTTATTCAATAGATTTTAAATTATATAGAAATTCATTAGCGTACTAGCCACGAGTTGATTGAAATTGATTGATCATTAGTCAGACTGAAATAAAGCGTTTATCCGCGAATAATCTTTCACGGTAGCCGTCACTTAAATATAGCGATGATAGGCGTTTACACCTGCACGTTCTGTGGGATGAAAGCAAAGAGATTCACGCCACGTCGCGACGAAGTACCAACGAATTACGAAATAAAGGCATACGTTTATTCGACTGCAAATAGAAAATCGCAACCAACAATCGGGTCGGCGATCATTCTCTTGCACTGCACCCAATGTAACGCTCGTTACTTCCAACACACTTCCGCTTATGTTTAGAAAAAACAAAAGAAAAATCAACCTTTAATTCTTATCAACTCGTCAAAGTCAAAATATTCTCCGCATAGCATTTAATATTCGTATCCCGGTAGAATGATTTAATTTTTAGATTTCTTACTCTATATGTTACCTATTTTTTTTTTCTTTTTTTTTTGGGAAATAATATAGATCATTTCCTTTATCGAGTATTCCTAGTGCAATTTCCATCGACTCTCACCAATTAAATAATTCTCATCAATCAAATAACTCTCATAGTATAGATTAATTAAAAACATACAAATAGTATTTCAATTATGCGCAGAAATTATTCACAGTGGTTGCGAAAACAATTTCAAGAATTATTTAATCTCGATCGGAAGCCTCTAACGAATTTTCAAGAATATCACGTGGAAATTAATTATTCCGCTTACGTGTACGAGTAAGGATTCGAAGAGGAATGTTTCAAGGTCATTAAACCTTGCGCAGATAACAGAGGTTCGGTTATACATTTGAAATGCGTCGGACGTAGTTACACGCGAATCGAAGCGAATGACGATTGCACCATCATATAATATAATAGGCCGGTATCGCGATGGTCGATGCTCGTGGCGCGGAGTTTCATTGATCTTGGCACTCGCACGCCAATGTCGTTGCACTACATTTCATTCATAACTCTCAATGCCGCGGGAGTAACGCTATTATGCTCGCGTGTAATCCCGTGGTTCGTTCGAGCGTGACGCATAACGATGCATTCGAACGCGTATCGGTCGCCAGTCATCGAGATGACCCCTGCTATCCGACGCATCATTGTCTCTCAGGGTATAAATTATATAAGTAAGTTGCGACTACTTGCGTACAAACGATGGAACAACCGCGAAACGAACGATAGACGGTCGCGATAAAGACATCGGATCAGAGTTTTGGTATATGGAACGTTTAGGGACTCGTCGACGAATCGACGAAGAATCTGTCTCATTAACGTGCATAATTATTCGCGAGTTTTAGAATAAAAAGAGGATATTTGAGAGGAATACCAAAGATAGAAAGCACTAGTAGCTGTGGTATTGTGATTTGGAATTTAATAGAAGATGAATTAAGAGAGATGGAACAAAGATTTGAAGAAATACTTTTCAAATAAATGAAAAATCGGTATCGTTTGTTTACGACAGAATTGGATAATCGTAGAGATTGAAAGAATGGGATTCTTTAATTTAGAAATTAGATTCGATCTTTTCAACGAGTCTCCGATATTGATGGTAGACGGGCGATAACTATAGGGTTCTAAGTGCACAAATACAGAGGAGATGGATAGGTACAGGGAGCTGGGGAAAAAGAAAGGGCTTGTGAAATAATAGCCGGTCAATGGTTAGCAGAAGATCTGCTCATCTGTCGGGAGAACTTCGAATAAGGCCTCTTCTATCGAAAGTCTGGCAATGATTGACGACTACCGGTTGAACTATAGGCTGCTCCGGCTCTATCTTCAATCTCTAGAAATTATCTTCAGATGCAATCCGTTTGTACTGTTTACAAATCCGGCGAGATACAGCGTTTAACGCTTTGATACGGCTAGTTAAATACAAAAGCTCAGCTAATTTGTTCCGGTCCGCAGCTGCCCGTTTACTGCGCTTCTGCGATAGTACGTTGCAAATTTGCAAATTCGTCTGGCCGCCAATTTCTTGCAAATTTTTGACTCCCTGAACGGTGCATCGACTCTTCCACGAAATAGATAATCTTTATCTATCAGATATCTATTAACAGATAACCCCTTTACCTTCTTTGTACAGTGGTTCACGAAGGTATTTGAACACATATCATAGAAACCCTCGATGTGTATATCGTACGTGTTACGTAAAACGTCTTGATTAGTGCTCTAACGAGACACGAGTCTCGTGGTTTTATCAATAAAGTTTGAAAGTTTATCAATAAAAAAAATTAGCATTGACGAAGGTCCCCAATGAATATCCAGATTTATCAATACGATGGTTAATTGATTACTTAAACTTAACTTTCGTGATCATTGGGAAATACGCGTACATTTGTACTTTAGTGAATATCTTCTCATTTTTACATACGTATATCCTACTTTCGCATTTGTTTCAAACTTAACGAACATAATCATGATAATCAGTCTCATAACGGTGCTAATGAAATTTCACAATGTTTCGTACATAATGTATTCGGTGAAAGATGTCTACGAGTGTTCGAATACTTTCAAGAACCCGTGTATCTCTATTGAAACGTTACAAAAAAGGGTTTAACAAGAATTAAAAACCGCGACGTCTGTCAGACGAGTAAATTTTAATTAACCAGATGTAGGGAGAATTTTTTTACGGCAGAGATAATTCCCTTGGCGAGAAGATCCTATTTGAAAGACATTTAAACGATGTGTAAACGTGCTGAGAGTACAAAGGGAGTAAGTTTACACATGCACCTGACCACAATCGTCATTTAATCCTGGATAGAATTGAAAGTTTCGTCGAACTCGTTGTCATAGTCACGAGGTGGTGCAATGAGATGTACCAGCCACCCTAAGGTAAAAAGTAATTTGCAAACGCGTTTAACTGCCGATTCTCTGCCTCGCAAACAGACGGATCTTTAATGAGACGACATACGACGCTCGTCACGAGCTCCGACTACTTGGCTAAATAACACAGATTTCAAAAGGCTACCCTCTCACGTGGAAACTTTTCTAAAAGCTGATACCCTGAGGTAATAATTATGTTTTATGATTTATTGAATGCTTGATCGTCGATACGCTCACGTTCACAATTACCCTTTACCTTCGTCGTTAGGTCTTCTAGCTAAATATCATGCAATATCTTCCATATAATCGTAACTCACGATGGAAATTATTTCGCGAATGTACGCAAGATTCGATTGCTCGGGTCAAGAGTATAATCGTTGTAAAGTGTGATTGAAATTGAGCACAGCAGGTGTTTAAATGAAATTGCAGTCGGTTTAAAAGCACGGCGAGGAATTCTGAAATTAAAGTTTGATTCGCGTAGAAAATCGCAGCTAAAACGTAACAAACAATAAACCACGTTATTTTCTCTTAAATTTCTAGAGCTAAAACCGACTGAAATTGTTACTTCGGGCATCATTTTTTTTTCTTTTTTTTTTTTTTATTTGTGTTTAATTACACTGGAAGCTCTGAAAATTACATAGCAAATCGAAAAGTAAAAGGATTTGCATGTGCCCAGGGAAATACATAAAGAGCAATAACGTGAATTGCAAGCGAAAAGCAAAATTATTATTTAATAATGCTTGCCTATATCGAAATTAAATAGTTGAAAAACCATAATCGTTCCTTTCAATGCGATGCGAAAGTTCACTAAATGCCGTACAACTTGTCTAAGAATTTATATATTAATGTAATCAGTAAAACATAATGTTGGTACGCGATGCATTAAGCAACTCGTTGCAACTCAGTTGTGAAAGACGCGCGCAAGGAACAATGTTTAAAGGTTAGACAGCAAGAAAGTCTTGTTTGAGGAGCACGTGTATCGGCCACGCTGATTTTGCCACAATGTCCTTTTCGATTAATTTCCCCGCAGGATTTTACTTGGTCTCTTAT